AAACTTCAAAGCACAAACTAAAAGTGAAGCATTGAATGGATATGCTAGGTTTAAATCAAGACATCCATATGAATAGGTTAGTTTACGATAAATCGATAAACTTGGGCTTACACTTTCATTCCCTGTAACTTTACAAATCAAATCGGTGAAATCTCTGTTCATGCCAACAATCGTAGTCACAAAATTGACACTGAAAACACTAAAATTATTCAAAAAGGATCTTCAGACTTCAGTCAGAAGGATATCTGAGGCATTTCACGTTATGTTGAATCATAATGTGCTCAACAGAAAGAAAAGCCTAACTATTCAACCAACTTAAACACTATATTCTAAACAATACATCATATACGATAGTCATAGGTAAAGTACATACACAGTTACCAAGATAACGCTAGAATAATTATCATCTCTTTCTGAACATAAGGCGTTTGATGACTTTTGTTTCTGTTAAACAAATATAAATTAAAGGACTGTAGTTGAGGAAATATTTAAAAGGGTGTGTTGTCCTGAGTTAACTAAATGGCGCGTTATTGAACTTGTCAGAGATTTCAAACTGTTCAGTTGCAAGCTGTTTGAAATATGCTAAATAAATAAAAAACGAACACAAGCTCATTTTTCTCTTCTTCCAATACATTTACTTTGACAACTACCCAAATGTATTCACAAATAAGCATCTACTAGTGTAAAAAATCTGTTTTTACTGTTATGATAATTATTATTATCATTATGTTATTATTATTGTGGCAATGATTGTTTTTTAATCTTTTTTACAACTCCAGGATCTTTCTTCTTATAACAGACAAATAAACAAATTAACTCAAAAGTATGTTTTTTCATTTTATCCTATTCTAATCGTGAATTTATTTCAGACTATCTATAGCTGAGGACGAAACCATGAAATAACTATGAACTTTTCAACGACCGGCTGTTGATACTTTTTCGTCTCGACTGTAGGTATTTAGGCAGGTAGATACGTTGTTACAGGGAGTGCGTAGAAAAGTGTAAATTTATTTGTTGCCACGAGAATATGAAAGGGAAAAGAAGAAGAGAAAAAAAGTGAGCGAACAACTTAGCAAGTATAAAAACTCATTTATTCGAAATGTCTTACTAACTAGTAAAAAAGTAACAGTAAACAATTCAGAGGAGATTTTCTTTTTCATGAATCATATTCAAAAGTTGTACAATCTTAAATTTAAAACAAAATGCACATCCGTTAATAGCTGATAAGTTAATCTAGGGTCATCAAAAAAAAGGTCAATAATGTCAGAGGGTGATTATGGTTAGAAGGTCAACACAAATCTTATCAAGAAATTGTTTATAGAAGTAAAATAAATAAGCAATTAAAAAATATCTTATAGAGTCTATAACTAACATAAAATAAGGGACTGAATTTACGTCTTTTGAACGCGGAGGTCAGGCCTTAGTCGATGAATCGCTAAGGCTTCCATGTCTAGGTGGTGAATTCACACTCTCTTAGAAGTATTTGTTCGAGCATTTTAAATGACTTTGAAAGAAGATTTTGGGAAACTAGTTGGAAAGTTTAGATTTCGTTGTTTTATGGAAAAATTATCTTCCCAACTGAAACGAAGAGATCTAACTGGTTATTTTACTGGTTCCTAAGGTAGTTTCCAGAGTCAAGCAATAACTCTGACTCATAGTGGTTATCAGAAAGACGTTCATGACGGTAGGTTGTTGTCAGTCTACAAACTGTGCTACCATTATAACAGAGATAAACTCATATGGTTTATTTCATGTGATTGGTACTAATGATCATAAACAGAAAACCATATAACTATGACTTTCGGTTCGCCTCACTATCTGAATGTTACTCCACTTGCCCACGCTTTAAACTGCGACAATGAGACACTGACTAAATTGAGCACAAGGCAAGATATTTGCAACCACCTTAATAGCAGTCTTTTTTTGTAGAATTTTGATTAATTCATCTATGAACACAGAAAAAAAAATCAACAAAGAACCTTATATTTCTTTGAAGCGGCCTAAGTTACCATACCTCAAGTCAGCACATCAAGCGAGCACGCATTAAGAGGAAAGATCACGAAATAGAGAAGGAAGCTGTCCCAAGTGATAGAAAGTCGTAAAAAGAGGGAGCGGAAGAATGACAGAATACTTAAACTGAGTATGACGATTATGATAAGAAAAATGTGTGAATATATGTGTCATCGACACTGATTCACAGCCATATCACCCAGAGTTTCCAACTAATGGTTTCTCGTGTCGACCGGACCCGAACCAAGAAGTTAACTTTTTCTTTTAGGGCTGAGACCATCAGTCAAAGATTTCATGCACTGATCCCATGCTATAGTCTGATCACTCCTAATCTTTATCCAGCTTCAATCTACAGCAGCTAACATTGTGCGACTAGCCATGAGTAACACGTTCTTTCCTCCCTGAAACCTCTACACCTAACTTGGATATTATTGATATGGTGAAATAACAACGCCACCTATACTATGAAGGCAATGGTGGTCAAACAACTTAATCCTTCTGATTTCTTCTACTTTTAATGATTATGTGCCACAGCCATGTACTAGAACAGACGGAGGAGGGCAGCACACTAGGTCTTTTATAGGCAGTTGGATAATACGGCAGCGCCACAGATGCTGCAAGGTAACGAAAACCAATCGAGCATTTTGTATCGGTGCAGAGATTCCGTCGGTTGCTGATTCGACTTCTTAGTAGCTAAAGCGGTCAACGCCCTCAACCATTTCATTGTCTGTTGTTAGGCGAGGGACCAGTGGAGACCAGTCCGGGATCAAGAATCTACATATGGGTGGCAAGGAATGCGTCCTAAACATTCTCAAATTGCAGCTCATGGTGCATCTTGTCAGCTTCATATCTGTGTCAACTGTATACTCCATGTATCTTGAGGATTTTCTTGTGATAAAATCAATCTCCGTGAAGTCAGACGATGTGAGGAAGACCACTATGAAAATGTCTATAATAAGGTTGAATGAAAATGGAGAGAGTGGACATCATTGTCAGCTACCACGTGTATGGCTTAACTAATAGCTCACTATAGGCTGACACTCCCAAAGACTTTCGAGTACAGAGCCTTCAAAAGAGTAATGTACTTCCTTGGTACTCCCCTCAGTAAGAGACACTCGCACAAGACTTCTCAATCTATGGAGTTAAATACCACCTTTAGATTGAGAAATACAACCAGTGTCGGTAGACAGTGTCTGTTTTTTAAAACCTGACGGAGGGTGAATATCTGGTCAGTTAACCCAAGGCCAGGTCTGAAGCTTGCTTGATTTTCTCGCACTTACTATACTTCAGCTCCATTCAGACGTCAAATGATTACAGAACGTTGAATCTTAGACACTGACTGTCAGGCTGATTCCTCTGAGGTTATCACATGTGAATCTCTTCCCAAGAAACTCAGAACCGAAGCGAACTAGCGACTTCTCAACAATAAACCAAACGTTCGAGTTACGCGTAAATTCCAAAACACAGGATTTGTCTGAAATACGACTTTACATTAATGAACAATATTGAGTAGCAAAATGCAAACGTCGAATCGTGAGGTTTCTGCTGGTTTATCGCTTTCAAAGCACTTGATTAGAATGCGTCAACAATAAAAACAGCAAGGCTGTGTCCAAGCAACCAGAAGGGAATATAAAAGTCGCGCATCAGTTCCCACGATGAGCTATGAACGCAAGAAAAACAAATGTTCAAAGAACAAGGCATGTATCAGCAAAGAAATATTCCTTTTCAACGACTTCATTATCAAGCTGTACAATCGTATTTATACTCGGTAAAGTGATAGATAATTGAACTAAAAAAGGGAGTTGCTCAGTCAATGTGCAAAATGTACAATCGGTGTAGGTGGTCGTACTTGTTCAAGTGAAACAGATAGAAAATGGGTTATTGAAAAAGGAACAAATTGATAACAAATGGTGAGATAAGCGACAAGTGCTGTCAAAGAATTGTAAAACGGTGATAATTTACCTGAAACGTGCAAAATAGGTCAATGATTATGCAATGAATTGATATTAACTAGTGAAATATGGGTCAAATGTTGTCAATGAAGTGAAAATTAGTGATGATGATGATGATAATAATAATAACAAAACAGAATTATACCAAGGTTAAGTGAAATGAAATTGACAAGATCAAGGTAGAGAAAGTGTGGTTTCACAAAACGTTTTGGAATGCAAACTTCCGGTTTTTGTTCATGCATAGCTAATACTTCAGCTATGCATAAGTGGCGGAAACGCAAACCTCTGGAGTAGTTCAATTTATCTTTGTAAGTTATTTTAAAGGATGAATCTCGAGGTGCTGAGTGACCTAACTCAACTAGCTGTTCCCACATGGATGAAGTCATTTTCCTTTGCTCGCCTCTGGTAAGCCAAACCAGGTAGTGTTCAGCAACACTTATTCGGAGGGCCCGCTTACAACGTCCAGTACAGTCAGAAATTACAACAGCATCATGAACGATGAAAAATACTGATGTCTACGAATGTTAAGTGGTGTACAAAATACAATGGAACAGAATGAACAGTCAACATTGTGGGTTAAGCGATATTATAAAGAAACATGAACTATACTACTTGAAAATACTAAGTAGTATGAAAGTGAAGATAAAAAGAGTAGGTAAGGGAACATCTCATACGGCAAACGAGAACACGTAAGAAAGGAATTAACACCATTCCCTCAAAGCCAGCATGGCTTTCTCTAATTACCTACTAGAAATACAGGAATGATATAATTGCTGTTGCCGCAACTGTATCTACAAGTATCGCGGGTTACCTATCATCTAGCCTTTCTAGCAAACTAATTATACGAATATCCCAGCTGTTAGTACTGAATCATTCATGGGAGACGGCACATGTAAACCTTGATGAACAGAGATATTTTCTGCGAACCCGGTGGCACGAAAGGTCAATTCTCAAAATGCACATGTTTATAGCTGTCGAGTTATTTCTGAGTGTAAATTGACATTTTCTGACAACACAGTTGCTAACCCTGTCCGAAAGCTACCAACTAGTGTTGAACGAATGGCGTTCAAACTTACGTATTCGAGCCTCAAGACGATCAGATAGTAGAGAAGTCCTGGAATTCTGACAATATTCGGCTTCACTTGCAAAATCACTGGGAAACTGAGGAGCCTTGGACGATGCAGTCCTGGTCAGATCCTCTTCAGTTACAGATGTATAGGCTCTATTTATAATATCAGAATTGTATAATCTATTTTTAATGCGATCCAAACGTCTGACAGATAAGTCATCACCAGAGCCTTTCGCAGAGGTGTAAGTTATTGGAGGATCGTCACAGAGTCCATGTTTACTGATCAGACTGACATCTTTATTCATTAAGCCCTGTCCATTAGGAACCATAGGATTAGTATTCGTGTTACCCGATCCCATTTTGTCTTCACCACTAGGAATTGAGCTCGACAAGCAAAGCTTAGACTCTGAAATTCCAGATGAAATTTCCAGTTCTAGATGGATTCGACTAGTTCGTTTAGCTAGAAAGTGTGTGTTAGTACTAACCGGAGGGTTATTACTTGTAGGTGCACTTGAAAATTCATAAAAACACACCTTTTGACTACCAGAACGACCAGATTCATCAAAGGAATGATCGGGTATCTTCGAGTCTGTGTTAGCTAAATCTGACTGATGAGCAGTCACCTTTCCTAAAGGTTGCTGAGCAGTAGATACAATAACAGAAGCTTGTCTGCATGTAATTACCGGCGTTTAAAGAAGCCATTTAGGCTTCAAGACGACGACATAGTTAATTGATGATTGCGTTTTGCTTTTCAATATAAGGGCATGATAGAAAAATCAACCAATCTTTGGAAAACTTCTAAAATTGAGTGAATGAATGGATGAATTTCTCTGGAAATGAAGTACAAAGTTTGGTTAAAATATATTTAACTTGATTTTATATCTCCCTTTCTCTGACCTGCTCTGACAGTTACAAAACCACTTTATTCAGTATGATGTCAATTTTGAAATCTCTAGTCAAGAATATTTTAATGGTTTTTGAATCTCTAGATGTTAGTGAACGAATCAAAACATCCGCTGATAAAATTTACCCAACAGAATTCAAAACTCCAGGAAGAAACGATTGACATCGTAATAATGGATTACAAATCGTTTGTTCTTTTTCTGAATATTCTGACTGCAAGTTACAAAGAAAATCTCACCAACCCCGTTGAAAGGCTTCTACTTGCTGTATATCCCCAGTTTTGCACAACTTTATCTGGTGTTTCGCCCGTGACCTTAAAATAACCTGCTCGGCCGTTTGCACACCGTTACTGGCTTTTCTTACCCCTACTCCCAAGGCTCAACTCACATTGGTTGCTAACTGTTTTTATCCATATACGGATTTAGTGTTTTCAAGATCATTTAGAAATGTATATATTCAGCATCGCTATCAACTGTATTGACCGTTGTTGAAACAGTAAAAGCTCTCTGTCAACAGTCTGCCTTCTCTACTTGTCTTCGTGCGTGGATAATATTGTTGTTGTGGTGGTTGAGGTTTTGATTTGTGTTAGAGTCAATTCATTGCGCATTAGGTTCGTATCAGCCGTAGTTTGCTAGGCTCATATCGCTCACACGCTGTTAGATCGTAATGGCCTTCATAGCACTATTCAAGATCACTTGTTTCGTCATACACTAGAGTCAACCACAGTATATCCTGCTATCTTGAATATTAATGTCTCTTTATTTACTGACTGCTGATAAACTCATCAAAATTGATTGGAGCTGTTTTGTTTGCTGTAGTGTTAAGTCCTAGTCAGTCTGGGAGATCAGTCAGTAAAAGAGAGGCCTAGCAACCCAGAGAAAACGATTACTTAGATGTATAGGCTAACAATGTGTTCATGAAAATCTGTATTCATTGGGCGCCGAAAATACTTTAAGTATACTTGTCAATAGCATACACATTTCCTGGCTGGTAAATCACTGTATGGGACTGGAATTCTGAAACTACCGGTGTAAATCTGGTAACGACTGATTAATTCAAGTATCAGTCAGTCATTTTCTCTCCTAGACTCTATTTCATTTGAATTCAAGTCAGAACATCTGGTCTGGTAGCCATTGTAGTTGTGTTCATGTGTGCATGTTTATGCATCTGTATGTGATGGAAAGTGAAGTCTTACATCTTTTTCATAGGTATGGCCCTTAGGAAAGCGTAACCAAAAGAAGTTTACTCATTTAACACTCCACAGAGGTTACTTTATATTTCGTAAGTATCCTGAATAATTCTATTTCTACAGAAAGGTTTCTAGCTAAATTAGTGACTTCTTGTCAGCATCGTGGTCTGGTAGGGTTTATAAACTTTAATTTTACTGCAGGATATTTACAAGTGATAACCTTTTCTGACATCACAGGTAGTGAAATCAAATCGGTAATGACACGATACTACTTCACCTTCTCAGGAAAAACACGCTATGCCGGTGTGGAAGGCAGTATCCATTGATTAGAAGCTCGTGTACCTGTTTATCCGTTGCTCCTTGAGGCCTGACAGGTAGTTGAGAAATATTCCGGTCTTATTCGAGTGAAGGTTGGTGATATATGTGAAGATATTCTCAGTGACTAGTGAGTATCACTACAGAGCCAAAGGGTTTCTTTGGAAACTAGTTGGTTGTTAAGATTCTCTGAGTGACACATCTTTTTAACATTCCCGGTTTCCAATGTTTGTTCAAACGTTATTGATTTTTCATAAGATATAACCATTACTATACTGACTGAAGGAGGCGAAATAGGAGGCTTCAAAAGTATGATCGGTTATAATACTTAAATAAATTTTGCTGGACATTTCTCTTGAACGGTGAACATTAAAAGTAGCAGGTACACCAACAAACAATCAAATAGTTCTGAACATCTTATGAGGTTGCTTGAGTACTGACCATTCACCTACTGATTTCAAGATTCCATCTAGATATTGTTTTCTACTTCTGTATGCACAACGGACTAGCGGCACAAAATAAATTGTCATCGTCCAGTGAAAATGCAATTCTTCATAACTATGTGTATGCTGTTGTTGAGAAAGTATTCAGATGCTATCTATGTAATAAACGGAAAACTATTTGCGGTGGCGTGTTTTCATTCCAATAATTTTGTAGTAACTTTCTTTTAACCATGTTCACATTGCAACTCTTTTAGGACTATTGCTGATGCTCATTCAGAGCACAAAGTGTCTCTGTGAACTTTGTTCAGAATTTGGCTTATCACTGAAACGTTCCTATTCAGGATAACGAAGGGAAAAACGGTGAAGCCATTCGTGGAACATGAGAAAAGGTGATTGAAATGGGGGGAGTAGGGATTGGGCAATAGAGGACAAAACACGGGGTAATTTCCTAAGGCATGGTAACAAACTTGGGGCCAAAAATCCTACTTACTAACTGTGAGCAGCTTAACAGTCCACGCAGAAAAATATGCGGAGAGTTATCGTGACTATTTTACAGCTTCACGGGGTAAAGCTTATCCCCTAAGTTACTACCTCCTGAAGAAACTTCTCAGTATGTCATTTTCGTAATTGTACCTTTCAAGCGGGCCAGCCACAATCGTGAAGCCTTTTAGCTAAACTGGGACCGTTGGCGCGTAACTGGTTTCAAATAGCTATCTTTGTTTCAACAACCTTGATCAGGTCAGAACAGATTCCAGTGCACTACCTTTAAATAATGGGGGATGTGGGAGCCTGTAAACCAGTGTTTCAACTTAATTAAATCTGTCTTCAGATCACGGGGAGAATTTTTCTCCTCGAATCACAATTTACAGTAAACCGAAGAAAGCAGAGGACGACACTAGGAAGAACTGCTTACGTCCAGGTCAAGAAGTAATTTCGGAAGAGGAACTGAGATTTTTAACCGGTGGTAAGCCTCACTTGGTTACCAAATACATTAAAACGCTGAAGATGGATGTGAATTCCTACCGTGGTGCACACACACATATCTCTTACCATTTACAATTTCAGAAGTTCCGGAAAATAACATAACCGAGTTTGTCCTCGATTCCACTTCTATTGGAAGAATGCAGGTGCAGACCACTGATAACCTTGAAGATGAGATGTAACTGGAATTGAGGTAAAATTTGGCAGGTACACTGAAACGGATGCGGAAAATACAATGGGCTGCATAGTATTTTATGTAGCTGCTAAAACCCGTTTGATACAAGATGTATCACTTAAATCTAAGGAGAGAATTGTATAAACTATAATCCAACTGGCACCCAAAATGCCAACAGATCCTCGGACAATATTGAATCAACCGCACAGAAGCTGCCAGGGGAAGTGGGTTGGACCCAGCTTGTCTTTGAATTATTTTGCAGAAGAAGCTGAGTAGACTGATAGGAGGTCACGATACTCAAAGACTTGAAAGACTCTTGAGCTGCAAGTGAGCACTGATAGACAGCCGTTGTGCAACGATTCCGACCAACAACTGTGACTCCCTCTAGATCAAATTTTGCATCCCATTGCAGTAGTTGTATTCTCACCGGCATTACAGCATACCAACATCACATCACTCAACACCCCGATGAGTTATTGGAGAAGTTTCAAATTTGTCGATCAATAATGTTTCAACAACTGTTTTAGAATGCATTGTTCCTGCGAAGTTGGTGGCTGCGGTGTGTGATAACCCAGCAGGTGCACTAGTAAAACCGATATTTGGTAACACCTTGAGAAGGGGTATGAAAGGTGAGAACATATGCCACAAGGAAGGGTTCTTTATGACTTTTCCAGTCACCAACTTAAACTGTTGACATAACCTATCGTTCCTTAAGCAAGATGATGCAGCCTGTAGGGACTGTAACGAAAAAAGTGATTTGAAAATCCCTCCCGAGTACTCTGTTTGACATTACTGATATTTATCTGAATATTTTTACCATCATTATGGATATTGTGCTTTTGACCCCAACCGATGTAGTATTATTTTGCCGTTTGTCTGTCTTCTTTGAATTTACACTCATTATTTATCTTCGTTTGATTGCGACTTATCATGAATGCTTCACGTCGCTGTTGTGTGATGCTGTACTGTCGAAAATATAGCGTTGTTTTACTGCTCCCGACATTTCGTTCCGGCCCAATTTAAGGGTGCGCTACGGTATGACTGCTTATCTTTTGATTGGCTACTGGAAAGCTCTATTCACTGGTTTGATTCTAGCTTTCGGTCCCGTTTCGTCGGGAATATTCTTACTGATTCTCAGCACGTATTCGGGCCAGAGAAGGTTTGGGATGATTGGTTGCCCAACTGCACTGTTTAGACACTTTTGTAATTTTGATATAACTTACTGTTGTTTGATAGAACCAAAGATTAATCACAAGTCTATCGCCGATTTGCTACAAATCGTGTTTGATATTGTTGAACCAATCTTTGACCGGGCGTCACTCATTAAAGTTAGGGAATGAATGCAAGCTGTGAGTCACCGAGTAGCTATGCAACCTCTTCTCGGCAGACAGCAGTGGTAATCTCAGTAGTCAATGAGTTCCGGTGGCCGAAAAGTTATGAAGCGAGAAAATTTAGACGTACACGGATTTTCGCTCTCCGATAGGCTATTTTCTTCGAGTTAGCACGATGATTACCACACTGGCCATTCGCCAGAATCCTACTGTTCGAGTGGGTTGGATTACCTAGTATTTTGTGAGGCGTTATCAAGCCACCACGTGATTTTCGGCAACCAAGGGGGTACAACCCTGGGCCTTTCAGTCTGTCCTCATAGAGTTTTCGCCACATTCCCACTACACTCTTCATTGCTCACCTCTGAATTTTCTGCATGAGGTTCACATCTCTTTCCGGGTATCCCGGTGCAATGAAGTTGTACGCATCTGAGTGAGGTCGTATGGAGATCTCAACGGAATTCAGAAAGAGTTTCAGAGCGAGGGAAGCTAGTTGTGTCAGCATAAAGGGCGTTGTCGGGTAGGCTCTGGAGGTGTCTCCAGTATAATTGGACCTGGTCTCTAACTTTTTAGTTGGTATTGGTCTCAGATCTTTCTGCATTGGATGACGCACATCACAGACATAGTAGGGTGTTTTGGTGAGCCGGAAGTGCTGAAAAACATGTTCCATATTTATCCAGGCTAAATGCCGTTGTCATTCACCCACTTTGTAAGCAGTCCTAGGTTACTTTGTAGTGCTCCTAAACCCGTTTCGGACGTTCCAGCTCCCAGTAACTTCATGTCATTGAGTAAGGTGTGAGGTAGAACAGCGGGTGATAGCGTTCTCTAGGCCGCACAAACCCTGCTAGCCTTTGTGCAGAATTCTCTGCCCTATGAATTATCCCCTAACCAAGAAAAAACCTGACCTCTGGTTTCCAACCTTGATTTTTGTGTGTAAGAATGGTGTGTGAGACTGTGTCAGAGGTCTTGTAAAATCCAGGAGGATCAGATGAACAGGGACTTGGAGATCCCAGAATGACGTCCAGTTGTCGCCGGTTGTCAGAAGAGCCGGGGAAAAGCATCCATCCTTTCGAAAACCATGTTGAGTGTCCCTTGGGACTCGCTCCTCCTTTGTTCAGGTACTCTCTGGCATGAGCGTCTGTCAGGCTCTCTGTCACCTTCGACAACACTGGTAGAAACGCTATAGGTTGGCAGCGTTGTGAGTCCTACTTGTCTCCTCCTTTGAAAATATGGGAGAGAACAGCACGTTTCTAACCTCATGGAGGCATAGCTTTGGTGAGGGGGGTAAAGATTCAGGTTACAGGGTGGGCCAGATAAGACAGTGGGGCGCTGTTTCAATGCAGACGACCGAATATCACCACGTCACGGTGGTTCTTCTGCGCGGAGCATCAATTGTTCCTCGGTGGCCATCGCACGGGTTACTTTCATTCCATATGGCGCCTCTACCTTCGGAAGTGGGGTATATTGCCGAGGCAGTTGGCCATCTTGGTTGGATGACGGGGTGCTAAGTTGTGCGTCGAAAGTAGAGCTAAACGTCTCCGGAACCTCCACTCCGGAGAGACTCTTTTCGTTCGAACCTTTCATAAGGTAGTCTCTCAGGGTAACGGATTCCCTCTCAGTCATGAATCAATACAAGTTTTGGAGTTTGGTTCAAGCTTCTGGACGAGGTTTTTCTGGAACAACTCCCAGCTTCCCACACTTTGATATTGATTGCATCGAAACCTTCTAGCCATATATGCGCTACGACATGACTGTCCTCCAGTGGTCCTCCATTT